CAGGAGAGAGATAGCGAGTGAGGCCTGGGCTGACTTCTGACCGTGCGTTTGTGGGTGCGTGGCAAGCACAGAGCGGATGCGAACCCTCCTCCTGGGTTCTGAACACTCCTGTTTTTTCCTTTGATTTATTCCGGCCACACCTGACGAGGCCTGAGTGTACTCCTGGCTTTGTGCTCAGACCCCGTATGCTGCCAATGGGGGTTGGCCCGGTGTAAGGCCTGAACCCCCTAACTGCCTCCAGGCCTACTCCCTGCTACTGAAGCCAAGAAAGTGCATCTCTAAACCCCTTCCAGTCTCCTGATTTACTTTCTTCTTTACTGAAAATAGTTATTTTTATAAGGGAGGTTATTTGCTAATCTTTTATTTTGTTTCTGGACCACCCCCAGCTGTACTCAGGGGCTTACTCCTGGCTGTGTGCTCAGGGATCACTCCTGGTGGTCTCTGGGGACCATAGGGGATGCCAGGAATTGAACCTGGGTCTGCCACGTGCAGGGCAAGTACCCTACTCACTGTATTATCCAGGCCCTCCCCCCGTTTTAAATAGTGCTTTCATGGTTTGTTTTAACTAAATTAAGTATTTAAAAAATATTTTAGATAGGGGCCAAAGAGATAGTACAGTGGGTAGAGCACTTGCCTTGCACGTGGCTAACCGGTTGGATCCCCGGCATCCCATGTGGTCCCCTGAGCACTGCCAGTAGTGATTCCTGGGTTCAGAGCCAGGAGTAACCCCTGAGTATCGCTGGGTGTGACCCAGATAAACAATATAAATAAAATCTTTTTCAGATAGGGGCTATAGAGAGATCATACAGTGGATTCAATCCCTGACATCCTACGTGGCTCTTGAGTGATCACCATGAGTGATCCCTGAACGCAGAGCCAGGAGTAAGCCCTGAATACCACTGGGTGTGTCCCTAAAACACGCTTGCGTGCACGCACACACATATGCATGCACACGTTTTTTCAGATACTACAAGAGTAAGGCTCTTGCATGCTGCTGACCTGGGTTCAGTCTCGACACCCCACACGGTCCCTAGGTGACCCCTGAGTACCACACCAGGAGTAAGCCCTAAACACAGCCTAGTGTGGCCCGAAACCAAAAAGCAAAACCCCCAGAACATTTCATTGTTCAGTTTTGTTTCTAATTCAGTGAATAGCAGGAGCTGAGTCTAACTAGGATGGGGGTTTGGGAGTCTTCGTGAATTTTAGAGTGTTAATGGGCCTTGGGAATAGCAACAAAAACATCCGAGAATCACTGTTCACCTGACACGAATGTTTATTGTAATAAATCAGTACACACTGCAGTTATTCTGGAAAACATGTGTATATTCCAGTTCCTGCTTGAAATATTTGTGGACTGCCTCGCAGGTACTGGCCAGTTCAGATCTGTGCCTGTGTTATAATTGAATCGCAGTTCACTTGTGGCAACAGCCGAAGCTGCCTCTGTCCTCTGCGGTGGTCAGCCACTGTCCGGGTACTGGTCTCCCGTAAGTTGAAGGACTCTTTGGTCTTTGGTTCAGCTGGGATGTGGACTTCGCTCGCTTTGGGTTTTGTTCTGTTTGGGGGCCGCGTCCAGCCGCGCTCGGGGGACCAGGTCTGGTGCTGGGGGGTTGAACCTGGGTCACCCGCCTGCAAGGGCTCATTCCCATACTAGCCTTCTCTCCCCCACTTTGGATTTAAGTGGTTGTGTAATTTAATAGATCTATTTGCTGGAAATCTTAGTCTTGCTTATAATATCTCTCCCTCCTCTACAGACGTCAGAAAATAGAACGCATTCTTTAGTTGAATGAAAAGAATCGCAGTGAGTGTGTGATTGTTTGGACTAGGGCTCCAGATCTGGTGGCTGGGTGAAGAGGAAGCGTTTCGGCCAGAAGGAGTTTTCCTGCTGAAGATCCTAGTGGAGGAGACCCGAACGATGGCACAGCGGGGAGGGCGTCTGCCGTGCACGCGGTCAACCTGGGTTCCATCCCTGACACCCCATAGGGTCCCCTGAGCATCACTGGGTGCCCCTCCCCCCCAAAAAAAGTTCCTTGAGCATCAGTGTTAGTGTGCTGAGGCAGCCTTGAGGAGGGCCACGCGCTGGGCGATTGGCTCTGACTGGCACGGTCCTGAGGCGGGCCTGGCTCCCGGGCCTCCTGCTGGCCTTCTGGGCGCTCTCGCCAGATCCTCCGAGCCCAGTCCTTGCCCTCTGTCTTCCTGTGTCTGAATGTCCTCTTAGGCTCCGTGTGGCCTGACCGGGCCCACCCTGCTGTCCTCTGTGATCGCCTCTCGATGGCTCTGTGTCCGGCTACAGCCGTGCGCTGGAGGCCGGGGCCTCACCCACGAGTCGGAACGGTTCTGAGCCACCTGGCTCTGTGCTCGTTTGGGACACATTTTTTTGTTTGTTTTTGCTTTTTGCTTTTTGGGTCACACCCAGTGATGCACAGAGGTTACTCCTAGCTCATGCACTCATGAATTACTCCTGGCGGTGCTCAGGGGACCATATGGGATACTAGAAATCGAACCCGGATCGGCCGCGTACAAGGCAAATGGCCTACCCGCTGTGTTATCGCTTCAGCCCTGGGACACGTTTTTATCCTGTGCGGACTTACAGGCTAACTGCTGAAAACGTGTAGTGACCTTTGCCCCCTAAGCCATGTCTGTCCTAAACTGGGATTACTCAAGACTTGGATTGAATCTTCCCTCAACAGAAGTCATGGTGTTGCCTGGCTTTCTGTGCAGGTCTCCCAGCATGTTTTTCCTGAGTGTCAGCTGGAGGAAACCACTCCGGACCAGCCGAGCCCTCAGCCGGCTGAGCTGTTGGGCGAGTGGCTAGCTTATCCCCCACCCCAGCCGCGGCTCTGGTGTTACTCGCCCGAAGCCAGGCGCGCTTTCCCCTGTGGGTGGGAAGGGGTCCTGCCTTCTGCTCAGGGCCAGGGGCCCGGGGCCCTTAGAAGCACCCTGCAGTCGAGTCGGGGTGACCCGGTGCACAGACTCACAGTCCCGTGGTGCCACTCTGGGACCTTGCCTGGCTCAGTCTTGGGTTTGAGCCCCAGAGCTGCTGCCTTGGACCTTTGGTTTCAGAAGAGACATGTGACTCCAAAGCGAAGTGCTCATTTGGGTCCGGAGCCAAGCACAGTGGGAAGGGCATTTTGAAAGGTTCAAGCCCCTGAGAACCACCGAGCGTGGCCCAGAAACGTGGAAAAGGGAATAAAATCATTTGCTCCAATAGCACCAAAAACCGCTAATGACGCCTCAGCGGCTCTGTCACGGAGCCCCTGACAGCTCTTAGGGCTTAGGGTGCCCTCATCTGGGCGCAGAGGGAGTTGGGGCGCTGGGTGTGAACCCCGGCTGCGGCCATCGGGGCTGTGTGTGAGCGCCTGATCCCCCGACTGTGCCCCCACTGGCCCCAGGCCCTGTAGTCTCTTGCCCCGCGCCCTGCCCTGCCCTGCTCTCTCCGCGGGCGGCCAGAGAGTGTGTCCAGCACGTGGGAGCCCAGAGGGCGGGTTTGGGTTTGTTTTCATGCCGGGGGTGCAGGGGTCCAAGCCCAGTTCGCTGTATGCGGGCCATGCCTCGCTGCCGTGTTGTGCTCTGGCCCCAGGTTGTGTCTGTGCCTGTCTCTGGGGGAGGGTGGGAGTCAGCTCGCGTCCGGGGGCTCAGGGGCCGCTCTTGGCTCTGTGCCCCCTGCTCTGTGCCCTGCTGGGCGTGCCCTCTCCCCGGAAAGCGTTCCTCCGAGGCCGGAGAGATGGTCCTTGCACGCAGCCAACCCTGCTGCTCCGATTCCCGCGTGGGCGTGGCCCCGAAACAAGGCAGTCGGCCCTGAACTTCCCTTTCCGGGGCGTCCTGGGGTCCAGCTGTGGGGCCTTTGGCCCGGGGACTCTCCCACCCGCCAGGAATCAGTTTCCCCATCACTGTTTCACACGTGGCCCTCCGTGTTCCAGTATATGTGGGTCCGTGACACAGGCATGTGGGCTTCGTGACGGGGGCTCCCTGCCGTGCCCGTGTGTATCCATGACAGGGGGCATCTTTGTTGCTCCCTCCCTGCCTCTCTGGCGCGTGTGGAAGTGCTGCCGTTGGAGTTTCTCAGGTCACTCTCGAAGGTGAATGAGCCTGAGCCTGGGGCGTCCCACCCTCTGGGGGTTCTGAGATCTGTTAGAAGCTTCTAGAACCTCAAGTACCCCATCGTCGTCGCCCCCCACCTGCCCCAGGGCCTTGGCTCGCTTTCTCCAGGGTTGCGGTGGGAGGCTGCCGACCTCTGGAGTTCCAGCACTCAGAGGAAAGAGTGCTCGGCTGGCCCTGAGCTGTGCGGAGGGAGGGGCAGAGGCCAGAGAGGGGACAAGCCCGCAGAGTCGCCGCGCCCAAGTCCTGGAGGACAGTGGCCGCGCCTGCGCCCTGCGGCCTCCGTCCCCATCAGAGCACACCCAGACGCGGCCCCAGGCAGAGGGCTGGCCTGCGTGAGGCCTGCTTGGCTCCCCGCACGACCAGGGACAGTGGCTGTGGGGTCACCCAGGAGACGGCAGGTGGTCAGGCGGCCTCTGTGCCAGCCGTTCCTCCCTCGAGTTGGCCCCGCAGTGAGCGCGGAGCACTTCGCTGGCACTGGGTGGTGATAGGTTTCCCTTTTCTTGGTTTTTGCCTCTCGGGGTGCCCCGGGGCTCCCCCCACGAGGCGCTGGAGGCCAGACCCAGCTGCCCTGCGTGCCAGCCGTGTGCCCTGGCCGGACCTGCTCATGTCCATCTCAAACTAGTGGACCCAAGCCGGTCAGCACGGAGACACGACACGGCCTTCCGTGCTGTCGTTTGTCCAAACCCTGGAGGTGGAGGGGGGTGGGGGGCGGGGGGCTCGGTTTGTCGTCCGGTTGTGGGGCAAGTGGTCATCTCACCTGGCGCTGCAGGCTCTAGGGCCATCAGGCTCCTGTCCCCTGCATGCCGCGCCTCGGCCCCGGGCGGCAGTGGCAAGCGGCTGGCCCGGGCTGGACAGGGACCCTGCAGTTGCTAGTATCTTGAATCTCTTTCCGTTTATTTTAGGAGTAAAAGTCCCTCGCAATTTCCGACTGTTGGAAGAACTCGAAGAAGGCCAGAAAGGCGTAGGAGATGGCACAGTTAGCTGGGGTCTAGAAGATGACGAAGACATGACTCTTACACGGTGGACAGGGATGATAATTGGGCCTCCAAGAGTAAGCGTCGAGCTGCGGCTGTCCATGTCACTGTCTTACACTCACTGTGCCTCCTTTAAGCGGGAGTGGCCCTTACGGGGCGCTCGCCAATGGTATAGTTTCTGAAATGTGGCTAGTCTTTTTCTGACCAGTTTCGGTTTATATATATTGAGCCTCCTCTGGTGCTGGTTAATCCCTCTGAATGGTAAGCAAAAATCTGATGTTCCGCTTCCTAGTGTGACTTGACAGGCCCGTGTGGACAGGGAGGTTTGAGCCCAGATACTCTTGGGGTAGCTCGGAACGGGACACCCCCGCCCCCGGGTCCGGCCCCTCCCGGTGTAGCTAGCCCCTGTAGCCGAGCGGCCTTTGCAGAGGAGACGAGGGCCACGGGGACAGAAATGTTGCTTTTTTTCCCCCCGATTTTAATTTTCTTCTTGTTTTCCTTGGGCGTCTCTAGAGTAAATAGTACAACCTCCCAGGAGATGGTCTTTGCTTCCTGCAGGGGCCAAGTGTCCGTGCTGGTGACAGGCCCTCCGAGAAGAGACTTGGGCCCGGGGTCACAGAGCCCCCAGCCAGCGTCTGCACTGGTTCACGCTGTGTGGCTTTGGTCCCAACCCTGCTCCCCTCCCCCCGCCCCCATCCCGTGTCGTGTCTCCCACCTCACCCCCCCCCCCCAACCGCAGGTGGCCCTGACTTCAGAGGCTGATCAGTTCCTTCCAGAGAACAGCAGGCCTCTGTCTGTCTGTCTGCCTGAGGAGGAGGGCTGTATGGGGTAGGGGAGGCCCCTGTAGGACCCCGAGGGGCACTAATGCTTCCCGCTCTCCCCTCCAGGCCCCGACCGTGCAGGCCCGCCCCGTGCGCAGACTGTGCACTGGATCTGTGGGAAGCGGGTCCGGCGGATCCAGGCGTTGTGCAGGGTCGGCACTGCCATCAGCACCCCGCAGGGCTCACGTGGCCACTCCGGGGGACGCTTTTGAGTCATTTTCGGGACGCTGTCGTTGTGCTTTGGGGACCTTTTAGAGTCCTGTTCTGTCTCTGGTCAGGCTACCGTGAAGGTGCGGGAACGCCCTGATTGCGGGAACCCCGTTTTCACTCCTCTGTCCCCCACATTTCTCCGGTCTGTGTATCCGGGACCTTGTGCTCTGAAGTCAGGGGGAACCGGGTGCGGAGCTCATCCTTCCTGCGAAGGATGTGGGTGTCCCGAGGATGGGGTGAGCCTCCGCTCCTCCTCCCAGAACCCCGGGGAGTGACTCAGAACGGGCTGTTGAGAGACTCGTTTCCAGGTTCCAACAAGTAAAGCGTGAAGCACTCAGCTTTGCAGATCTACTTGAGACCGCAAACGTATAAACTTAAAACAAGCAGAAGGACCCGATTCTTCCCCCCGCTGAATCTCAGCGTGTCTCACTTTCCTGAGTAGCTGCCCTCGGCGAGGTGTTTTCCACACGCCCTCTCCTTGCAGCTTTGTTGAGGTGCGATGCATATTACCACAGTGTTGAGACAAACCAATTGTGTCTGTGTATCGATAGGATACAGACTTTATAAAATGCATTACTGTAGCATAGACTTCGGGGGGTGCTCGGGCCACTCCTGAGGTGCTCGGGAATGACCCTGGCCGTGCTGGGGAAACCAGGGGGTGCCGGGGATTGAACCAGGGTCAGCTGCATGCAAGGCTAGCAGCTCTCGGGCCCCTACCTGGGAAGTATAATCCAGGGGTTTTTATTGCTCAGAACCGTGCCAACTCATTAATGTCAGGAGGTCGTTGCTCCGTGAAGGCCCATCAGTCACCCCGTTCTGTTGCCCATGCTGGACCCCCATGGGGGCCGCGCTGTGTGGTCTCCGTGGCGCGGTGTTTCCTGGTGGCCCCCTGGAGCGGAGCGGTGCTCCGCAGGGGGCAAGACTCAGTTGACCGGCGCAGGGGAGTTTCTGCTCTTCTTGTGTGATGGTTTTCGCGTGGATGTCTGCGGGGAGGAGCACGGTCGCTGGGTCACGTGCCGTGTCATTTCCTCGGTCTGTTCTGTTAGGGGGGGCTTCCCCCTGGCCGTGACATCTGCAGCGCCGGGAGTCAGGCTGGGTATCTGCCGCCTGCGAGGCACACGCCCTTCCTGCCTGGGGCTCGCCTTCCAGAGAGCAGTCGTGCCGTGGCCCCCCCCAGCCACGGTACCCAGGGGTCTCAGTTCCCTCACGGCCTGGTCGTCGGCCGACCCGGCGTGGCTGTGGGGGGGGCCATGTGGTTCCAGGGATCAGGCCCTGGGGCTTACGCACGTCAAGCCTGTGTCCTACCGTTTGCTCCTGCGATTTTGGTGGCCGTGGGTCCCCCAGAGTTGGAGCGGTCGGGGTGGGGCTCGGCAGAAGCACGGGCCTCGCCTGCGTGGCGCTCTCGCCGTGACCCCAACAGCACCCAGGAAACGGCCGTTGCGGACCAAAGCGGCTCGACAGCAGCAGAACGCCTGCCTGTACACTGTCAGCGCGGGCTCCATCCCCAGCACCCAGTGTGGCCCAGAACAGACTGAGGTGGTTCTGGAGGAAGCCCCTGGCCTTGGGTGCTGTGCAGGGCGCCTGGTCAGGGTCCCAGCACAGCTTTGTGCCAGACCCCTCACCTGCGTGTTACAAAGCCTGAAATAGCGCTTGAGTCATCTCTTGCCTGTTTGCTGTTACGTCACGCAAAAATTATCCTTTGGCGGGGCCGGAGCGATAGCACAGCGGGGAGGGTGTTTGCCTTGCACACGGCCGACCCGGGCTCAATCCCTGGCATCTCGTATGGTCCCCCAAACACCGCCAGGAGTAATTCCTCAGTGCAGAGCCAGGAATAACCCTTGAGCATCGCTGGGTGTGACCCAAAAAGAAAAAAAAAAACATATTCTTTTGCAAAATTTAGAGGGCTGGGGAGAGAGCACAGTGTGTAGGGCGTTTGCCTTACATGCGGCCGTCCCCAGTTCTATCCCTGACATCCCATAGGGTCCCCCCGAGTACTGCCAGGAGGAACCCCTGAGCATCTCTGAGTGTGACCCAAAAAGAAAAATGTTTAACTTTGATCTGGGAGTTCCAAGCAGAATGCCATCAGCCTTTCTTAACCCGTGCCGACCAGAGGCCCTGCGTGTGCAGGACCGTCTCGAGGGCAGGTGCTGGGGCAGTCATGCACTGGGTAGGACACCTGTCTTGCATGCGGCTGGCCCAGGTTCATCTCCCAGCACCCCGAACCTGCCAGAAGTGATTCCTGAGCACAGCCAGGAGGACACCCTGTGCGCTGCCGTGTGTGGTCAGAAACTGAATGGCCTCAGAAGGCATCTCCTGCAGCAGCCGGTCCTGTCCACTGCTGGAAGACCTCTCTGTGCTGCAGGAGGCCAACCCGGAGCCGGGGCTGGGTGCTGCCTCTCACACAGCTGACCTAGTTCGGTCCCCAGCACTACGTATGCCCCCTGAGCACTGCCAGGACTCAGCCTTGAGCACTGCCCGGTGTAGCCCAAAAGTCCAAAATGAAATAAAATGGGGTGATCTCTATAGCTGGAAGAGTAGGGTGCAGAGTGGTATGCGGGGTTACTGCCTGCGGTGGGGGGGGGGCTGTGGTGTCTGCTGGCATCGGGGGTCTCAGGGTGCCCAGGGGACCCTCAGGGAAGCTGGTTGGCCGTGATTGCCTTAGAGCGGGTCTGGGGTGGAGCCATAGTTGGCGGGAAGGGCACTTGCCTTGCACACGGCCCACCCAGATTCAGTCCCCGGCGTCCCAGACGGTCCCCTGAGCACGCCAGGACAGCCCCCGGGGTGCAGAGCCAGGTGTGGCCTCAATAGCAAAGCCACGGCAAAAGCAGGAGCATCTGGCGGGCTGACGCCAGGGTGGAAGGGAATTTGCTTTGCTTTGTGGAGGGGGTGGAGAGAGACAGACAGACAGAGAGAAGGAGGGAGGGGAGGGGAGGACGGGGGAGAGGGAGAGAAAGGAGCAGGAGCTGTGGGCAGGGGGTTCGCACGTGGATTCCCTGACGTTGGTCTCTGTCCGTGGCTCATGCTCTCGTGGGGGGGTGCTCATGCAGAGCCCGGACCGCCAGAAGCCCGCAGGCCCCATGGAGGGTGGGGAGGTGCGGGGGGGGGGGGGCGCCCTTCCCGCCCCTACAGGTCTGTTTCCGGTGGGCTGCTGCGGCGCCCGGGTACGCCCACATCTCTCCAGCGGAAGGGCGAGATGGTGCCATGGGCGGGCAGGGCTGGTCCCGGGCCCCGTCAGCGCTGCGGGCGCGGCTCCCCACATCACGCCCGTGACTTCCTCCTCCCTGTCCCCTGCGCCTGTGACCTGTCGCTCGCTCGAGAGCTGGCAGGAGGTGGTGTCGTGGGGGCAGGGTCCCTCCTGTCACACACACTCGGCGCCTGGCCTCGGGGCTGCCGTCTTGGGGTGCAGCGTGCCCGGTGGGGGCTGGCGCTGATGAGCACGGCCCCCTGGCCAGCTGGCTTCCTGTCGGGTGGGCCCACGGGCTGCTCCCTCCCTCCGTCCCTCAGGTGCCCGCTGCCCGCTGGCCTTCTCCTCACCTTCCTCAAGCGCAAGCAGCCTCCGGGTGCCTCTGTCCTCCCTGTCCCCGGGCTCGCTGTCCGTCTGCATGCCGTGTGCAGTTCAGGGGGGACTCAGGTCCGGTGGGTCTCGCTTTCGGGGGGGCCCCCCCAGCAGACTCCCTGCAGTTCTGGAGCTGAGAGGATTCAAGCCTCACCCGGCAATGCTCAGCGCTGACTCCTGCTCTGCTCAGGGATGCTCCTGGCGGTGCTCGGGCATGTCTGTGCCGGGGCCCTTGCCTGGCCGGCTGCATGCAAGGTGGTGGGCAGGCGTGCGTCCTCACCCCACGCCTCCCTGCGGTCACACACTCAGCCCGTGTCGGCTGCTCTGGGGACTGGGGTGGCAGGGAGGGCCTGGGGCTCTCACGGAGCCCGTGGGGGCTGAGGAAAGGCCTTGGGCCGTAGTTTCAGGGAACTTGCATCCTCTGCTTCCTGCCTGCTGTGTTCATTAAGTGGGATTTGTCCACCGAGGAGGAAACGTGTTTTGCATCTGCAGTTCCTTACAGTGCCCCCCCCAAGGGAGGGACCCCCCCCCCCCAGTGTGCCCAGGGGACCACACGCTGTGCTGGGCTGAGCCAGTGCCTTGCGGGCCCACTGAGGCTCAGCTGTGACCCATTCGCTCATGCGTGGCCGCTCCCTCCTTTGCGCAGAAGCAAGTTCCTCCAGGGAGCTCGAGCCTGGTGGCACCGGGACAGAGACAGATCAGGAGAGTGTGGGGACTCGGAACTGCGTGTTGGTTCTGCGGCTACTTCGGGCCCTACGGGAAGCGAGAAAGGATTTCACGGGCGTGTCATAAATGCCTTCTGAGTCGCGGGCTCCAGGGGTTCTCCAGGGGACCCTCCTGATGGGATTAGCTCCCAGTGGTGCCCCGGATGAGCTCCACGACGCTCCCTTCAACGACCACTAGGTGTCGCTGTCTGCACGGACGTAGTTTTTGTGCAGTTCTAGGCGCCGTCCCCAGGGGGCCCCAGCGAGCAGTTGCTTTCTCGGCTTCTCTCTGGGAAGCGGGGTGGGTACACCCAGTGTCTGAGCCGGCTGCGGGTGGGGGGCCCTCGGCGGGACAGATGGGCGCGGAGACCAGACTCCTGCAGGCTTCTCAGGAGTCACGGCTGCCGTGGGAGGGGCTCTCGCGTCTGTGACCTGGCATGCACGCCTTGCGCTTACTTCCCGTGTTGCTTTGTGGTGTGGGGGGTGGCGCCACGGCCCCGGGTGCGAGGCGTGTGCTGAGTGCCAGCCTCCCCCACGCTGCACTTCTCCCGGAAGCGCAGTCCTGCTGTGTGCTTGGCACAGGGCAGTCGGAGTTCGTGCCTTTGCGCGGCCTCCCAGAGTCAAGCGTTCTTGGTGGGACAGACGTGTCATCTTGTCGCACTTACGATGCTGCCTTTCAGAGGGGCTAAGACAGGAGCTGTGCATGCAGAGTATGGGCCCCTGGGTGCGTGTGCGTACACACACACACACACACGCTAATGATGTTACCTTAGAACTTTAGTGACGAAATGTTCTGTGTTTTCCTTCTCCCAAGATCAGAACTCGGGGAGGAGATCAGTATAAGGACTAGCTACTGCTAACTTAAAAATAGCAAGTTGCGGCCAGAGCCATTACAGTACAGTGGGGAGGGTGTCTGCCTTGCACGGAGCTGACCCGGGTTCAGTCGCTGGCAACCCATATGGTCCCCCGAGCCCGCCAGGCATTAACGCCAAGCACTGCCCAGTGTGACCCAAAAACGAAAAAAGTGAGAATTATAAAACAACACAAGTCAGCTTGGGAGGGGGGTTTCCAACTTTGCCTTTAGGAGAAAATGGGGTGTGGAATGACCTTTTCTCCGTTCACTGCGTGTCGTTCCCTGACGTTTCTGTGTACCTTTCTCTTCCAGACAATCTATGAAAATCGAATATACAGCCTTAAAATAGAATGTGGACCTAAGTACCCAGAAGCACCTCCCTTTGTAAGATTCGTCACAAAAATTAATATGAATGGAGTTAATAGTTCTAACGGCGTGGTAAGTCATCCTTCTGCCCTCCTGCCCTGGGGGGTGAGGTCACTTTGCCGTCCTCTGGCAGGGCCTTGGGACCCGGGCTGTGTCCCCTGTGAGCACGTGCAGGCCGGGGTGGGACCCCCTGGGCTCTGGCTCTGGACCGCCACTGCGGTCTCCTGACAGCCTGCTCCGGCGGGCACTTTCCCTGGCCTGTGACCCCCCGCCCGCCCACGCCGTTTCTCTAAAGGGGCCTTTCCCCTGAGGCCCGGGGACCTGGAAGGGCGGCCACATGTGGCCATGGGCGGGAGGGAAGCCCGAGGGGCTCAGGGAAGGGGCGAGGGAGCGGGGGTTGGGGGGCCCCTCGCTCGCTCAGCCCCTGCCCGGCGCCTGCGCTCACCGGCCTGCGCTTGCCCTGCAGGTGGACCCGAGGGCCATCTCGGTGCTGGCCAAGTGGCAGAACTCCTACAGCATCAAGGTCGTCCTGCAGGAGCTGCGGCGCCTGCTGATGTCGAAGGAGAACATGAAGCTGCCGCAGCCGCCCGAGGGACAGTGTTACAGCAACTAGCCAGGCCAGCGTCTCCCCCGCCCCCACCGTAGAGGCCGCTCGCTAGGTCCGCCTCGAGACTCGGGCGCCAGAGGACGCTCCTGCCGAAAGGCCGTTCCCCCCCACGCTCCGCCCGTGATACTAACCCGCCGTCCCTTCCGAGTGTCCACGCTGTCCGGCACCGCCCCTCCCTCACGTGCAACCACTGTCCACGCCGCCGTCGCCACCGTCGTCGTCCTCGAACTTCTGGGATCAAGAAAGTCTGTGGAGGCCGATCTCGTCCTGCCTGGGGGGCGCGTCTGTCTGCTCAACTGTGAAAGGCGCTTCACACAATCACCTGCTGCGGGGGCGCCCTCGCCCCCGGGAGCCGAGGAGGCGGGGCTCCTGCCCTGCCCGGGTGGGGGGCACCCGCCGGCCCCTCTGCCTGCCTTCTCGAAGTTTTAAACAATGTCCCCCTGCCAAGCCATCGCCCTGCCCCGCTCCCCTCCCCCACCCTGGGCCAAAGCATCGATTGTAAACCCCCCCCTGCTCCCCTCGGAAATTGGCCTTCGGTGAGGAATTCAGGGCTTCTCCTACCTTCCCCACCTTTACGCGCGCGCGCACACACACACACACACATGCACGCACGCACACACACGCGCACACACACGCACGCCCTGGCCAGCAGCCATCCGGTCAGGCTGCAGAGAGCCTGGCCACCCGGTTTAATTTGGGAACCACCGTGACTTCTCTCCACCAGCCTGGGAGCCGCCCGCGCGGGGTCCCCGGCCCCCCGGGCCTCTGCCGTCACCCGCAGCCCATGCGTTTTTTTAAGCTCAGGTTTTGATAAGGTGAACAAGAACAGTCACCAGGGCTCGCCCGCCCTGCCGGCTGGTTCGGGTCCTCAGCAGGGGAGGGGGTTTCAGCACGAAGAAAGGCCACAGGAGGACACTCGTAAGCACACACAATCCCTCCGAATGAATTGTCTCCCTTTCCTCTCAAACGGCTTCTGCTTTGTCAATCAATCGAAGATGCGTGTGAAGCAGGGCGCTCTCCCCGGCCGTCCCGGCGACGCGCGCACGCGGCTCTGGTCTGGAATCTGACAACTGGAACAAAAAAGACCCTCGACTCCGGGTGCTGCTTCCCGCGTCCCACGGGGGGCCGGCGGTCTCGGCGAGCGCGCGGGGCCCGACCTGGCCAGCCTGACTTCTGACGAATTGCTGCGTTTCCCCAGTTTTCTGTTCAGGACCACTAGATGCTGAGATGTGGATGCGTACCGAAATAAAAGCGATTCATTGTGTTCTAAGGGTTTTTTTTTTTTTTTTTGACTTGGTGTGGAGGTAAAACCGCCTTGTGGAGCGGCGGCTGCCACGTCTGGGAGGCGCCCGACGCTCCCGCTCATCCTTCTCTCCGGGGACACCTTAGTTCTGAGGATGTAACATCCTGTAAGTCAAGTCTAACACGACAGTATTCCATGAGCAGCCTTTTTACTGTCCGACCATTGCCTGATTTTAATATAATAAAGAGAAACCGTGTGCGTTAATACTCAGAAGCTCTGCTCTCCTCTGGAATGTGGTGCCGGAGAAGCCCCTTCTCGCGCCCTGGGATCCGACCGGCGCCCTCGGGCCCAGGCCAGCTTGCTCCAAAGGGCCCCAGTGAGCAGATGTGCGGCTTTGTGGGCCCAGAGGCAGCGGCCAGGCCCCCAGCGGGGTAGGACATCAAGAGGTCAGAGCCCCACCCTGCCCCCCGCAGTATCGTTCTGTGAGTGTCCCAGTAGGCACTGATGGAGTTTAGAATGGGAGGATGGAGCGGCCGTGGCTGGGGGGGGGGGGAGGCAGAAGGGCTGGGCTCCTGGCACTGCGTGTGGTCCCGGGAATAGGGCATCACAGATGCCACTCGAAACCGGGGACGGGTGGGGGCCGGGCGGAGAGAGTGGGGGGCTTCAGAGGCTTGCCTTGCTCGTGGCCAAGTCTGGCCTGACCCCTGGCACTGTGTCAGGCCCCCAGGCCCTGCTGGACGGATGTGGGATGGACAGGGATGGACAGGGCCAGGTTCCGACCCCTGCCCGAGTGGACGGCGGCTGGGCTGAGCCCTCCTCGGGTGTCTGGGCTTACCCCGCCACCTGGCCGTTCGCCCTGCAGGTGCTGGCGTACCTGTGCCACGTCACCTGCCCTCCCACCGGCCACGGTCCCAGGGCGGAGGGGGCCAGTCCCCGGGGCCTGCCGGGAGCCCGCTCCCATGGCAGAACGGGCTCCAGGAGAAGGGGGTTGGTTGGAGAAAACGCCCTCCCTGTGGCTCAGATGCAGCTCCGCCTTGCCCGGAGGGGCTGCGTGCATGTGTGTACACTCATGCACACACGCACGCACACCCGTCCAGCACATATGCGCACACGCAAACACCCGCATGTGCGCGCACACGCACGTATGCGCGTGGGTCCCCTGCAACATCCCCGAGATCGGTGCTGTGTCTGCGTCGTCGCTGCTCGGCTCAAAGCCAGGAACAGTCCCGGGCCCACGCCAGAGGGCTTAGGGTGGGGATATTCCACAGGAACGTTCTAGAGGTTCCCCGGGGCCCCCTGCTGCCCCAGCGCCTGCCCAAAGGCTCCGTGTCGTGGGGAGAGTGGGCTCCAGGGGCTGGCTCTGCGCCAAGGGGTCATCAGGGGACCCTAGTGGGTGCCGGGGGCCGGCCCCGCCCACAGCGTGCAAGGCCAGTGGCCTCCCTGCTGCCCCGGGCCGGCCCCACCACCTGCCAGCCTGGTTGTAAAAGGGCTCGCGGTCACCGGGCGGGGCGGCCAGCAGAGGGCGCGCGCGGGCTGCGGACCAGGCTGGGCCCCGGGTCCCTGGGGAGCCTGTGCTGACGACCCCCGGGGGAGGCCCTCCCGGCCCTGGGAGCCAGCGGGCGGCCCCTCCTTCCCGCCTCCCTTCTCAGCCTGCATTTTCTCCAGAACCCAGACAGCAGGATTTATCGAAAATCTTTTGATGGTGGCGATTTTTTTTTCTTTTTTGGGTCGCACCCAGCGATGCTCAGGGGTTCCTCCTGGCTCTGCACGCAGGAATTACTCCTGGCGGTGCTCGGGGGACCCTATGGGATGCTGGGAATCGAACCCGGGTTGGACACGTGCAAGGCAAACGCCCTCCCCGCTGTGCTATCGCTCCAGCCCCTGTGGTGGCGGTTTTTAGTCACCAGTTACTAGCTGAGTTATCTTGGGGGTTGGGGGACCCGTGAGTGCCCAGGGGCCGCTCCCATTGGGGCGGGAGGCCTGCAGAGGAATGACGCGGTGGATCAGGGGTTGAACACGGGACTCCTGCCCTTGGGGTCTTCCCGGCCAAGTTACTTTTGGGGGGGGCGGGGCCGCTCCTGACTGTGCTCAGGGATCACGCCTGCCGGTGCTCCAGGGACCAGATGGGACGCCGGGGATCGAACCCAGGTCTGTCACGTGCAAGGTAGCGCCCTCCCTACTGTGCTACCGCTCCAGTCCCGAGTTCCAGTTTTAATTCTCCGAGGAAGGATTTGGGACAAAACCAGCCCCCCCGCACACCCCCGGCTCCCTTGTCCGCTCGGTGCCGCCAGGAATGATTTATGTGCTGGCCAGGCTGCCTGGCGCCCGGCCCCGCCCCGGCCCGGCCCCTGCCCCTCACGGGCGCCTGGCTGGGATGGTCTTTGGCTGAAAAGGCCGCACAAACCTTAGCAGCCCCACGCCGCCCGCGCCTGGACGGAGCCTCCTTCTCCGGGGCCTGGAAGCGGAGTCGGTCTGCGGTGCTCGTTGGTTGTGGGGATGGGGGCCCCGCAGGGGGCTGTGCCCGGTCCCCTTGCCCTGGGGTGGGAGGGGAGGAGCAGTGGTACCAGGGGCTTTAGCACGAGACAGAGCTGCAGACACTGGTGTCCGGGCTGGTGTCCCGGGCTGGTGTCCACCTGACCCAGTGTGAGAGGCTCGAAGTGGCCTCGGTGGCACAGCCAGTCCACCTCGGCCAGGCCCGGGGGATGCAGGCGTGGGCCTGACATCACCCTCCCACCAGCCACAGAGACTGGCCCCAAAGAAGTGGCATATTGCCAAGCAAGTTTCTCAAGTGAATCTGGACCAGAAAGTCTGGAGCTGATGTGATCGGAGGACAGGGGCCGAGCATGGGTGAGGTGAGCCCTGATGGGAACACACTGGTGGAGAGGGCCAGCAGGTGCAAAGGCCCTGGGGCAGCATGAGGGTGGGCTGGCTTCTGAAGGGACAGCAAGGTCAGAATGAGGACTGGTGAAGGGGGGCTCAGCTCTGGCCCTACATCTGAGGCCTGTGTTTAGCACAGAAAGAAAGAGCGGGGGGAGCACAGTGCGAGGAGCAGAAGGAGGAGGAGCAAGAGGAGGAAAAGGAGGAGAAGGAGGAACAGGAGGAGGAGGAGGAGCAGTGGGAGGAGGAGGAGCGGGGCAGGAGCAGGCAGCAAGGCCCGCGCTGGCCAGAGGCGCTCAGCTGAGCCGAGGTGGGGGGAGCAGGAGGCCTCGCCCTCCCCCCCAGTCTGGGCCTCCGGGGTGGCAGCAGTGCCCACTCTGTCGGCCTGGTCACCCTCGGGGTCTCGGGTGGGGGTGGACAGTGACCACAGCCCAGCCCCGAGAACTGGACCCCCCAACCCCAGCAGCTCTGGGCTCCTCACAAGGTGGCCGGGCCAGTGGGTCCCAAAGCCCCTGGCACTGCCCAGCCCGGACACTGGACACCCAGACTCGCCCGGCCTGGCGGGAAAGCGGGAGTGGCCGGGGCTGCCGCTTGGCGAGTTGCTGCCGGAGCCCCCGAACCACCGAGCCCCCCCGAGAGCCCCACTCCAGAACATTCACGGGTCATTCACTGGACAAGGGGTAACGAGCAGGTGCTGCCCGGGCGGGGAGGGGGCGGCTGCAGGACAGACTGAAATCAAGGCAGCCGGGGGGGGGGGTGTGTGCAGGGGGGCCGGAGGGAGGGAAAGAAGGAAGGAGGGGGACAGTCCAGCGTGGAGAGCACTGTGGGGGTGAACCAGGATGAGAGATGGGGCGGCACGGGAGGAGAGGCGGTGTGGGAGGGGGTGGGTGGTGCCTGGGTAGGTGACGGGTGAGTGGTGGGGGTGAGGGAGGGGTGCGTGATGGGGGATGGGGTGGGAGTGGGGGCTGTCGGTGTGTCGCGGGGGCAGGAGGGCTGCTCACTGGGGACAGCACCTGGCCCTGTCGGGAGCGAGTCACGGCCGCTTGGGGCCAGGGGTGAAGCCAGGACGCGGGCCGGGCCGGCTCCCCGGCGTGACCAGGGCGTCCCCGTAGCCCCAGGTCCCGGGGTGACCCTGCAGGCCAGGGCAGGGCAGGGGTGTCTATGTCTGGTGACACCCCAGGAGGCCGGGAGGTCACTTTGGGTGCTGGGCCCCCAGGCGTGGGCTCGGGAGACACGGGTGCTGCGTGGGTGGACATCGGGACTCTGGGCTTGGGGGTGAGGGAGGCGTCGCGGCAGACACGGGCCCGTCCCTGAGCTGCGGCCTCACCCCTCCGGGCCCCCTCACCCTGTAGCCTGAGCAGTGCCATGCAGGGGCACGGCTGGGCCTGGACTCTCACGGTGATGGGGGAGGGTGCAGTGCTCCGCCCCATGGCCCAGTGCTCCTTCAGCCCCGCGCAGAGCAGGAACCCGCCTTGCAGACAGACGCCCGCGTGTGGGAACTGACGGGAGGGGGGAGGGGCCGGGCCGGGTGCTGGGGGCTCTGGTCTGGCCTTCTCCCAGGGGCCTTTTTGCTCCCGCCGACGCAGAAGACAAATGGGAGAAGTGGAGCCCACCATGCCGAGGGTTCGAAAGCCAGCCCCCACCCCCCGCCTGCAGTCCCCAGAGTTCTGGAATATTCCCTCCCTGAGCTCCGCGTGGGCACTGCCCCCTCGCCCCGGGCACACTTGGCCCCGTCCAGCTCTCCTCTCCTGCCCCCAGCAGAGGCGAGTATGGGGGCACCTCTGCTCTGGGCCCGTCCCCGGCCGGGACAGCAGTGGGAGCCCCCGGGTACGCCTGTGCTCGTGGGCCCTGGCTCAGGTGGGGCCAGGAGGGCCAGGGATGCAGCTCCGGGAGGAGCTTTGGGGACGGTCGCCAAGAACCCTTATAGTCCCTGAGCGGCTGAATGAGCCGCCTCCACTGGGCCTGAACGGGTGGAGCTCTGGGGGGGCTCCTCCGCCCCCTCCTGGGTCGCCACCACCATGTAGGCCCAGAAGTCACCTCCTCCTGGAAGCCTTCCCTGACTTCCCTCCCCAGGCCAAGTGAGCGCCCTCCCAGCATCAGTGAGGGAGGCGTAGGGCTGTCAGTCTGTCAGTTTTTTTTTTTTTTTTTTTTTTC